ATGATAAAAAAGTTAATAGTGCTGTTTTAGCAGAATGTGTTTCTGATCATCTGCCAATTGTACAATGCTCTCTTCTAGAAAAGCAAATTCAGAACAGAATTGAAACGCTTTACCGCCAGTTTACTTCGTCCAACTTGAATACTTTTATGAACGAACTGAATTCTATTGATATTGATGACTTCAGCAGCATCCAGGATCCCAACACTTGCTTTGAAAAATTTTTTTGAAAAATTCTCTACTGCTTACTCTCAATCTTTTCCTTACAAAAAACAAACAAACAGATCAAACAAACCTTGGTATGATACTGAGTTACGTAAACTAAACAAAGTCAAACAAAAACTTTATAAGAAATTAATAAACAATAAAAACATAAATGACAAGCACAAATTACAGTTCAATGAATGCAGGAACCTTTATACTCGATTGCTCTACAAAAAGAAATCAAATTATTACAAATCTAAATTTGCCTCTCACAAAGGTAACATCAAGGCAGTATGGAAAACAATTAATGAACTTATTGGTAAAAATAAAACAGGTTCTTGTCCTTTGATTGGACTCGATTGCAGTAATACACAAATTGCAAATAAATTTAATGAACACTTTTCCCAAGTGGCACAAACCCTGCTCGACTGTATGCCACAACCAGCTGGCTGTGACAAAAATTACATTTCATATCTTGGAAAGCAAGAATCCTCATCCATGTTTTTAAGGCCAACTACATCATTAGAAATAAAAAATATTATACGCGAAATGAAGCCCAAGTCAAGTTTTGGAATTGATGGTATTCCATTCAAAGTATTGAAACACGTTCCAGAACATATCATTGACATCCTGACATATATATTTAATCTTTCACTATCTAGTGGGTTATTCATTGAAAGCTTCAAGACATCTAAAGTTCTTCCTCTATTTAAAATGGGTAGTGTTTCAGATCTTGGAAATTATAGACCTATTAGTCTTTTACCATCATTTTCTAAGATTCTTGAGAAAATAATGTATAGTAGAATGTCAAACTTCTTTGAAACTAACAATGTTTTCCACTCTCATCAATTTGGTTTCCGCAAGCATCACTCCACTGCTATGGCTGCTAATGTTTTGGTACACAAACTGACCAAGGCCTTTGAAAGCAAACAACATGCAATTGGAATATTTCTTGATATTTCAAAAGCTTTCGACACCATTGACCATTCCATCCTTTTAAGTAAGCTCTATCACTATGGAATTAGAGGCGTCCCATTCAATTGGATCAGGAGCTACCTGCAAGACAGGAAACAAATTGTGCAATATGACAACTCATTCTCTACAAATATTTGTGTCATGAAGCACGGAGTTCCACAAGGATCTTTACTTGGCCCATTATTTTTTCTAGCTTACATTAATGACATGTCCAGGTGTCTGAAATCCTCTGAGTCGATCATGTTTGCTGATGACACTGACTTGATTCTTCATGGGAAAAACCTTGAAGATCTACTCACAGTTGCAAACCAAAAACTAACCAACATTCATAGCTGGATGTTGGTTAACAAATTATCTCTTAATGCTAACAAAACTAAATTTGTATTATTCCACCCAAGCAAGCATAAAAGTGTGAGTTGTTCAAAACCACTACTGCTCAATGACAATGAAATTGAAAGAGTGAAAGAAATAAAATTTCTAGGAGTTATCTTTGATGAAAATCTATCATGGAAATCACAAATGTTGCATGTTATTGGTAAAACAAAAAGGAACTTGGCAGTTGCTGCTAAAGTATCCCAGTGCGTTAATCAATCAGCTTTACTAGCAATGTTTCAATCTCTACTACTAAGTCATATCCGATATTGTAGCTCAGTCTGGCTCCATGGTAATAAAACACTTGTCTCGAAATTGCAAAGCATTTGTAATAATTTTTTAAGAATTGTCTTTAGGAAAAGTAAACGTGAAAGCGTAAATCATTTCTATAAATCGCTAAATATACTCAAGGTTGAAGACATAATGAAATTTGAAGTATTATCATTAGTTTATGATTTTCATGACAACTCATTGTCAAACTGCTTTGACGACATACTAACCAAAACCACCTCCAATCGAAGAAGTAATTCCAATTTATTTATACCGTTTATGAGTAAATCTGTGAGTCAGCATGCCCTATGCTATAATGGACCTAAGCTATGGAACTCTCTCCCCTTGAATTTGAAGTCATTAAAATCCAAAAAATCATTTCAGAAACAAGTTAAGTCGTACTTGGTATCCAAATATTAAAAGTTATTTTCCCATAACCACACTGATATATATACTCTTTCGTATGAAATTAGCTACAACGTTTTGATAGCTCGGACACAAAAAATATTGAACCTTCATGAATGACCATGATAGAAAGTTGGGACACTCTTCACTTGCACATACTTATTTTCATGAAAATATTAAACAGCTACAATATTGCTATTGCTCCTGCAGCTGCTGATTGTTGTTAAGCCGGCAGTTAATCTCTCTCCACCTGTTCTACATCTATTGTTGGTGTGTCGGGTTCTGTAGCATGCACAGCAAATTATTTTATTTATTTATTTTTCAAATGGCTGTTTACACTCTGACATCTGCATGCGCATGTTCCCTTTTTGCTTAACGTTGGATTTTTGACATTACACATGCATGATCTTTGTTTCTATATGGGTGGTGTGATACCTTATGAGGGTTGTAGACCGTATAGTTTAGCTCCTGTACCTATTATTGTAATTAGGCGACCAGTGGAGATATATTGGATTCTCCCCTTCATTTTAATTTGTTGTGGTATTCTATGATTTGTTTTGTGTGTATACAAAATTTTATCCTAGGTTGAGGTTCTGCTGTGAAGTTGATGTGAAGGCCAACATACGAATGGTCAGTGTGGTTTGAGAGTTTCTGCATGGTTTGCGAGGAATTCACCCTGTGTCCCAACCATATTTCAACTCTGGTCTTTGAACTAGCGTTTTATAGATAGATAAATAATAATCAATATCTACTCGAAATAATAATTAATTCTAAACAAAAGTGTAGGGTAGTGCTGTTTCCAAATATGTAACCCTTGAATATCCTACTCGCAGATTTGTTTTCTGTTTTTCAGGTCGTTCTGTGATGATCAATACAATGGCTAGTTTATTGAATATAAATGGTGTCTACAACAACAAAATTCGCAGGCTGATGTCTCATCCACGATAAACTTGAACCTATTACGCCATAATAATTAAATGAAGAAATGATTCTGTGAAATAACAATACTAATTCCTTTATTCCTAATTCCTTTGTCCTTGCAGAAGTCAATATCTAAGAATGAAAAAAAAAACCTTATAACCTTAGCAACCAACATATTCCTATACCCTGTCTTTCTACCTTAATTAATTATAATTACTCATACTTATAAAGTTACTGATAGATTTAAATACTTATTGCAATCTGGACTACAATTTGGCAATAATAGGCTCTAGTTTGGGCAATGAAGTGGTCTAGCCCACCTCTTCATGCACCCAATTCTGGCAACTTTGGTTGGGCATTTTGGCATTTGACTCCATCTATAATCAGCTTGACAATATATTTTTTTATAAAAGTTTATCTTTACTGTTCACTCCCATTTATAAAATTGATCAATTTGGCAGTGGCAATCATGATAAATTTATTAATATGGTGTGGCAAGTAATTTTTATTTATTTATTTTTTATTAACTACCAGTATGTAATTTTTCATGTTCCCTTTACTTAATAACTTCTATATGGTTGTGTGTGTGGGTGCGTGTGAGCGTGTGTGAAATATTTCAATTATTTTAGGTGAGTGAACACGTACCACATCTTCTCGGCAAAACCTTCCATCTTATATACATTCTGTACGTTTTAAACCTTATCTAAGGTTTTGTTCGCTCTCCTGATTTCATAATCAGTTTTTATTTATTTATTTTTAGCATTCATTTTATTGTTTTGCTGATTATGGAGTCGAAATAAACTTATACTTATACTTATTATATCTGGTTGGATCCCTGACAATCCTTTCTCACTCTCGTCAGATTCGCATGTCTCTGTGTCAAATGAAGTATCTAGTGACAGATCCTGTTAAATTATGATCCAAAGGTAAATTATGGTATAAGTAATCTTTACCTCACAATTTGATGGTGCCTTTTTGTTGGGCGATAAGAATCTGATATAGGGTCAGGGTATTCATCAGTTGGTCCATCGCCTCCATGAAAATGCATGATGGAACGCATTGCTTGTATGAAAATTTATTTCATATGAGAATTAACATATTGAATATATATTAGGTATCGAAAACAGCATTAATGTTGGCCTACCTTGGTACACACGTATGTATTTCTGGTGATTTTTCCTAGATTGAATTGACTGTGAGGCCTGTTGCATTGCTTCATCCACCTCATTACTTTTTAGCGGTCAATATGTGGCTTCGGAAATAGCACAAATCCTACTCCATTTGAACGGCAGGGGTACCGTACCGGTACAGGTTGTCAGACCGGCAAATACCATATGCGCAGCGTTTACACATAGTTAGTCTACCATAATAATCCACTAGTAGATTATGTTTAATAAAAATGCAACATCGTATCGAAGGTGAATTCTTCCGTACGGACATACGGTAGGCTACCGGTACCCTTGATTGCATCAGCATAACTGTCTACTATTTTTTGGTTCGAAATAGCGGTTGGTTGACCTGTACGGTACGGTACCGGTACCGTACCTGTGAGGTGCCTGCAACGGGTACAGCCTTTTAGTATAGATATATAGATTTCGTGAACGTGATTTGCAACAAGTAGCATACAGTATTACTGCTTTCTAATTCTCGCAGCCCTGTGAATAAAACAAAAAGCGAAAAGGGGAACAGAGATTTGCCTAAACCGCCAGCAACCTGTGCGGAACGCGTCCAAAGTTGTCTGAGCCAGGGTTGCCAGACCCAAGCGATAAAAAAAAGCCAAATCAATGGAACAAAAAAGCCAGAAAAAGCCAAAAATTTTATTAATCACAAAATTTGTTTGAAAAAAGGTAAATTTGTCACATCAAAAGTTCTTCTTCAAATAGATCGTCCTCTTCATTGATAACAGATTCATCAGACGATTTCGTAGAATATAAAATGTTAGAATTGAATCTGTTCATCATTTCGGCCGAGGGGACAAATTCCCTGCAGCACCTATTGAACGATAAAAGATCTGCTCTGATTCGTATTATTGCCTCCAACAATTGTAACTGAAGCCTGTTTCTTGCCTTCGTTTTTATGCTAGTTAATAAAGAAAAAATCCTTTCCACTACGGCATTGCTAATAGGTGTTTTAAGGCAAGTTAATGCAAATGTAGCGAGCTCTTTGAATTGCGGATTTTCTATTACTCCTTTCCAGAATTGCTCAGTGTCTCGGGGTAGCCCCTTTTCTCTGAACTGTTTTTCTTCCTTCCAATCAATAAAAGGTAATTTCCTGTACCGGTCTTCAATAATAGTCTGATTTTCCCCGGTAAGGTGCAAAAACGGCAACTTTGAAAATATTGGCCTCGAAACCTGGTTCAAAATTATTTCGGGACTGAAATTAGTTAGATCTTTAAACAAATTTCTTGATGAAGGAAGTCGCTTTTTAACTTGATCAAGGGCTTCTTCAAGCATGGATAAACATCTTTCTTTAATGGACAAAATAACATGTTGGCATTCATTGGTGTTCGAATTCTTCCTAATATAAACGTCACACTCTGCCAGGAATTTGGCGCCAAAATCGATTTCATAAATATATTTTTTCTTATTGTCAATATCATATATCCTGCTACTCAGACTTTTATAGTGCATTAATAACTCATCGTGTAATTCGTGAGGATCTGCCTTAGTTTTCTGAAAGAGGCTATTCAATTTCTCAAATTCCTGCACTAGAGGGGTTGCAAAATGAAAATATAAATAGTTTTTCTGATCTAGAAGCATTTCCTTTATAATTCGTGCCTTATATTTACTTCCAAAATTTCCTTGAGCTAATTCAGCTGAAATAAAGTATGCTCTGAGCTCTTCCCAATTAAGCAATATATTGAACATCACTTTTCCTCGGACAAGCCAGCGAGTAGAAGACGTTTTTTCAAAAGGAAGTGGTGCTGTTCTAGCTATCTCAAATTCTGTTGCAGAGTTCATAATCTTAAATAAATCTTTAAATGCTTCTCGTCTCAAATTGCTATATCGAAACCAATTTGGTATCTCTTTCAACAAAAATCCAATGCTCGAAGGTAATTTTGATACCGCATATTTGACACACAACGCTAATGAATGACAAACGCACTTGTATTGTGCACATAGAGGGGATACATCTTTAATTCTGGACCAAACTGAATTGTTGCACCCAACCATATTTGCGGCACCATCTGATGCAAAACCAATGCAATTTTCCAAGTTTTGATTGCAGCTTTTTATCTCCTTGTTAATCAGGTTGAATATGTTATCTCCAGTGGCTTCTTGGACTGGAATCAAACTTAAAAAACTAGTAGTAATTTGATTTGTTTTATCGTTGAGGTACCTAACTAAAATACACAAATACTTCTGAGTTGAAACATCTGTGGATTCATCAACGATGAGTGTATACTTTTTGTTTTGCAGATTTCGAATTAGATCAGATTTCAATTCTGGTGAAATAACATTTTTTATTAATGCTATACACTTTGTCCTGTGTAATTTTAAATGACCAAGAGTGCTACCACTTCCATGGGATACCATTATTTCACTCATGTGATCAATGGTGCTTATGGCACTATGGCAGGACATGCTAACAGCAATTTGTAGTTCAGCTATTTTGACTTTGTCATCAATTTTTGTTCCCATTGTTTTTACTTGAAGGGTTTTTTGTGAAGAAGATGGTGTATTCCTCTTGTGTTTTTCAGTTGCCTCATGACTTGTCAGATTGGAAAGTCTTGACACAATAGTACATCTGCACAATTTGCAATATGCTGAGTTAAAACCATCAGTTGATTTGGTGAGCCATACAAATGTCTTCTCCCATTGAGAATTGTATTTTCGGTTGCTATCATAAGTTGATTTCCACTTTGGCATAATGCAGTAATGATAGATTTGTAAGTAAGAAGTAAATATTGAACGTGAGAACCCGAATCACCCGACAATAAACATCAAGCTGACATCTAGACTATATTCATATATTATTTGTGAAAATATCTAAAGACCAAATAATAAAGAAAAATATTGACCGATAGCACAGTTTTCCACAGTTCAATATATACAATACCTGGCGCCGCTTGATTGGATCTAATCTACCATAAAAATTTTTAAACCTAATTTAGATATAGAAAAAATTTTGATGCAAACTTCAGAGTGTTTTGGGCATTTTAGGTTTTCAAAATGAAAAACATGTTCTAAACTATCACCAATATTAAAATCATCCAACCATTGGCCGCTTACAGGTTACAGTTACAGCGCTCAGAACTGGTAAAATTAATTTTGATTCGTACTGCAACTAAACTAAAGCTCCCGGAAGACCTAATCCAGTAATCGCAATTGAGTTATTTGATTTACGAATATTTTTTGAGAAAACAATTTAAAAACAGACAAATAACATGTAAAACTATGAAAACGAGGCAAAGTTTACAGCCATAGGGCATATGCTAACCGAGTATTTGCCTGAGCAACAGGCGCAAAAGTTTTTAAGCGTCTGCAGAAATTCCCATTGTTACGTTATAGTCTATTAAATCCTGATTGGTTACGAAAATGAAAACGGAAATTGATGCTTGGGTAAACATTCAAATATAAAGTACCGTAACTAAGCAATAGACTATTCTTGTACTCTGAATATAGATTTCTATGATTTCAAAAAATGACATTGGCATGGTCATAAAAAAGCCAAAAAAAAGCCAAAAAGCCAAACTGAAAATCTGACGCCAAACGTGTTTGAAAAAAGCCAGATTTGGCAAATTTGGCGTTAAAAAAGCCAATCTGGCAACCCTGGTCTGAGCGACTTTTCAGCGGAGAATGTTTGTTTACATCTGCTACATTTGAAAATCCGGATGTTTTGATGTCGGGGAAAGGACCATTATAGCCGATCCCCAAGTATTATTCCGCTTTCAATCACTTCTGCTCTATTCTGCATTTGAAACCAATAGCTGGTTGACAATTCTAATACATGACATAGCTGGTAACAGGACCAGAGCCAGTGGTTCGTCATATGGTCGTAGTCAAGTTTATTTTATTATGAAATATTAATATACAATGTTTAAACGTATAATATAGAGTTTTACTGGGGAAGGGAAGTCGCGGGGAACCAAAGCTGGTTATCAAGCAGCCACACCCCGGATTCGGATATCTATTGAACATTAGTAAGGTATGGCATCTTGATTGTCAAGTCAACTCGTCATATCAGTTAATATCTTTCCCAGGATAAATATGAAAGTCCAGGATATGAAAAAAATAGATGTTGATCTACCAGTTGCCACAGGTTTATGCGTTTTGTACAAATAACCAATTAACCCAATAAACGACATGGACTGGTAACCGAACGAGAGGCTATATTTTGCCATATGATGAAGCCTTCGCATCGGCTTTTCTCTCACACGGTATAAATATGTAAATCCTATAACCATCAAGTTCATGCATCTGAAACAAAATAACTGGCTTACCAATCCCATATCTGACAGGGACTGGTTCCCGGGCGAGAGGCAGTGGTGCACCACATGATTATTGGGTTTTACCCCAAATCCAAGTATAAAAGTTGATCATTGATTTCTGGATCATTTAATTTTAATCCTAAGCCAGGCCTATCGAGACTTGTCTCAACTTTGGGAAGGTAGAACTATAGCATTCTGAACATTGTGTTGTTATTGTTATGAGCATCAAGAAAACAAGAGAGCTATGCTCAAATATATGGACACGTATAGCCACATAATTTTGATGACGTCATAGCGAAAAAAAGTTATAGCTTTCTGGAGAAAAATTATATCTTTAACCATTGAAAATGTCAAAACAATTGGTCCAGTCATCAAATAGAAAAACGATTTCTTCAAAACGTGTCAAAGAACAACAACAGGCCTAATAACAACAAAACGATCACTATGTCCACTACGTGTCCAATAATCAGTCCTTCACTATTGCTCAATAGTCGATTGATATTATTCAAAACTTTTCAGGTTCTATTTTAGCGTGAGGTCTATCGCACTTAAGTGGGAGATCCGCCGCTATATTATTCCTCCCATAGGTAGGCTACATATGGCGGTAGACGTCGCTACAATAGCATCCATTTTCAACGTGACGAACTGCCAACAACTACATTTCTAAGAGATGCATTGCTGCTGGTTCTTTCGACATCATTCGCTAACTTTTTTTGATTCTCTAATTTCTTATAGCCAAGGTTGCCAGCATCACCATAAAAGTCTTGTCATAATAAACATGCGGGTTATCGGAAAAGGGCAATTTCAGGTGCTGGCCTTCGGATTAATTTTTCATATTTATTTAGGAGGGTAGTAATAATAAAGCGACTTAGCTTTAGCTATATGGTGAACGATGGCCTCCCGTCTAAACATTAACCCAACTGAATAGTCTTCGATTTCATCAACCATCCTATCAGGTAAATTCAGCTAGTCTCTCACACAGAATCATACCTCATAAGAATCAAGCAGTGCGTAGCTCGTAAACTTAGTTGTAGGCAATCTTGGACTTGGAGCCCGGTCTTATCACACTGATTATTTATTATACAGATGCTACAACAATTAACAAAATGTCACACAGAATTGAAAGAAAATAAAAATCATAAACATTTCTCGACTAGACATACTTAATAATCGAAATTTTGCACATTCAAGCACAAGAAGCAATGATAATTCAATAAGGAATTAATATCATTTAATATTCACTTTATACAAGACGAACAACTAGACGGATTGGGAAAGCAGATTTGCATGAAAATAATCATTTCTAATAGGTGTTTTTTTTTATCCATAATGTCATACTTAAAAGTCCCAATAGCAAGACAAAAATTAGAGATAATATCGACTTGACTGGTCTGTAAGCGTTCAGAAATAAAAAAAAATTTTTGTTCTTAAACAAAGATTTCTATCTTTAATGAGCTATACCGCATCAGGTGTCAGACATCGCACACAAACAGCACTTTTAGATTAAAATTACACATCTATCAAAGACAGTGATTCACAAAACTTTATGTGTTTACGAACCCCTTAGGCTTCTCTGAAGTAACTACGGACCCCCCGTAATTTTTAAACCTAAAATGCAATAAAGAACATAACATAGAGCTATGTGAACAACCTTAAAATTAGCTGCTACTCCTCAGGTACGAAACACATTTAAGCAGCACAACATAGAAATCAAAATAAAAGCTAATACTTCATATACTTTGCCCGTGAGTACTTTAACACGAATCAGTATTCACTGGCATGTAATTTCACACTATAATGTCGTATGGTCTCAGTTTCGGGGCTTCGTCCCTGGGGGCGTAGCAAGTAATTTTCGAAGGGGGGGGGGGGGGGGGGGGGGTGAAATTTCTATTTGGCAAGTTAGATCAAAATCGTCCGGCCAAACAAAGGAAAATGTGTGTTTCATGAGTCTTCAAGGCATAAAAAGCGTTTCGTGCTCTGAAAATTGCTATGTATGATACAGAAAGATGCTTTTATTAGTTTACATTTCAAAAAGAGGGTTCCGACCCCCAAAACAACCCCTTGCTATGCCCCTGGTGGTCCCTCATACTTTCGTAGATCAGTCTCCTTTATTCCTGGGTAACCTGAGTATTATTTTTTTTTTGTTAATTTCAATTTTTTTTATTTTAAAATTACGGAAAACATGAAAAAAAAATTTTATATTTGGGGAATACATAGAAATTTTTTCAATTTTTTTTTTGCCGTTTTCAATTTTTTTTATTTTTTTTTCATATTTAGGAGATACATAGAAATTTTTTTTAATTTTTATTTTGCTGTTTTTAATTTTTTTCAATTTTTTTTTATATTTAGGAGATACATAGAAGTTTTTTTAATTTTTTTTTGCTGTTTTTAATTTTTTTTATATTTAGGAGATACATAGAAATTTTTTTTTTGCTGTTTTTACTTTTTTTTCATTTTTTTTATATTTAGGAGATACATAGAAATTTTGTTTAATTTTTTTTTTTTTGCTGTTTTTAATTTTTTTTAATTTTTAATTTTTTTTTACTTTTCAAAATTTGGATTTATAAAGAAAACCTATATGCATTAGGAAGGATTAAGGGTTGGATAAGTTGAATTATTTATGCGATTGTTATTCCATTCCAATACAGCAAGATTAGGTACAGTTTTGTCAATCATGATAAACAAGAAATGCTGATAGCAGTAAATGAAAATTTAAAAGGCTGACATACACAAATCAAAAAATGGAAATTTACAATAAGCATTGCATGTCATTGTAACATGTATCGCAATTATAATATAAATAGAATTTATAATTCACATCTGTTGTTACTTTACATAGATGAGAGGGCAAAGTTACACCGGGCTCCAGCAAAGTTCTCAGATACTAATTTTCTCTCTCTGGTTAGGAGCATTTTGTCAAACCACAAGGAGGAGTCAACAGTAAATAATCATCACCCAAGTCCAACATTTATTATAACAGCCATTAATTCCCAACCTACTTAGTTTATCACTCGTTATGGGTTTGCAAACAAATTTGCAATACTAAACTTCATAGGGATGTTTTAAAATATATAAACTCAGTATATACCAGCAGTTGACAGGTTAATTTGAGAGACTCTTTGGGTAAGATTGCGATAAATTTTGAAAGATTGCAGATAGATAGTAGGTAGTACAAACAAATTACATGGTAGAATCAGGCCACCCCACTAAAAAAGCGAGGAAAATAGCAACAAGTAACAGAAGTACAGCAATTGTGAACAGCAGTTGATTTTGCCCCTGAAAAAAATAATAACTTTAAATTTCATTGAAATTAACTTTCATTGGTGAGTCTAATTATCAACTTGGACTGATAATGAAATGATAAGTTTGGTGACTAAAAAATACAGTTTTTCGTGTAATCAACTACTGATATAAGGATTATTAACAATCAATATTGCATTTACCTGCTGTAATCCTTGTTGACTTGTGTGTACGTTTCCTCGTCCCATTATGTGCACTTGTTCCGAATCCCCAAAGAAGTTGTAAGTTAGTGGTTGATGATCTGCACGAAAAGAACAATGTTATTGGAAATACATTGTCAGGCAATTAATGTTTCATTTTTCATTAGTGAAATAATGAAAAGGAAGCGACATGATATGGCTACCACTGACTACAGGATTAATGGTCATCGATTAGTTCATGTATGAAATAGGACATAAAAATGAATGTTCTCCTAACGATGTATAGCAAACAGAGGCAAGCTCCATACAATGCTGGGGTTTTTTCAAAGGCATTTTGATATGGACAGAAAAGTGAATTTTCCAGTAATGCCCTTAATTACTCACCTACTGGTTCTAATGGAAAATCAAAATCACGGTCGCATATCTCCTGGTCATTACCATATTTAATCATCTCATATCTGATTTTACTCCTGGGATATTCTTCTAATTCAGGGAGAAGACGGAACATGTAATCATTTCTTTGCTTTCCTAGAAATGTTTTGTCTACTCGGAAGGTATAGCCATTAAGATAATTGAAATGCAAGTCTTCTTGTTCAGGATCAATTTGGAGATTTATGCGAACTCTGTCTCCAGTTCGTAGTAAGACTTGGGGAAGTGGGATAGGAGCAAGTTGCCCTCTCAACTCTTGGAAGTAAGATATGACATGGCTTCGAACAGTCTCACAGCATGTGAAAAATGCAAAATAAAATTGGTTTTTGTTCAAAATATAAAGACGATGTTCCATAAGAAGCTCCTGTGTTCCAAATATCAACCACCTGATGGCGGCCATAACTCGGCTGAACTTTCTGCATCGAAATTCTATGCTGTTATCCTCTGTGATTCGATCAGGATTAATATTGTCCCAGTCAGTTTTACTTGAAAAATGTAATATGTCAATTTTGTCTTTATCTAGACCGATGCACCATGACTGGATTTGCACAATCGCATCTTTGAGGAATTCTGAATCTGCACTGATATCGAAAACTGGTGCGATACCAATGTATTCTTCTGGGCATAGTGAATTGTCAATTCCAACCGACATCCAGACCTTTGTTTGTTTGTTGAAAGTTCCAATAGGAAACGTGACTTTGCATTCGTTCAGTCTCATGCAGCCACCGGCAACTTCAACGTTTACCACTAAAAAAATAGATTTGTTTTATAATGCGACAAAAAATAAATTATAACAGGTGATTATAACAGTTATCTAAAGTACCCTTTCAATGTCATTAGGATTTCCATAATTATTCCAAAAAAGGGAGTTGACATGACGTTTCCATTTTAGGGCAAACCACGGCCCTTGTTTGATTACCCGTCCATGTCCGGTATGGAAATAGTTACCCAGTAATTTGTTTCAGATGCAGGAAGCATGAGAAGATCGCTAATTATGGAAATAAAACGCAAGAAGTAACTTGAGCAGGAAATGCGTTGGACATAAAGCGAAGCATACTCAGTTCTAATTTTAAAATCATTTGAACATTTGGCGCAAAGAAAGTGAAATATAGAACTGGGAATGCGACAAAATATTTGTCACCATAAGTTGCTAGAGTAATTCCTTGTGTAAAGTTAAATTTTCAGTCTGGTATCCAACAACTTATCCACATTTAGGAACAGAAAAGTAATTCGACTTCATAAATTTAGATTGCTTGTATGACCAGAGCACAATATATTTTGATGAATTGAAATTAAAAAAGAGGGATGTGTTTAGGAGCCAGTAAAGTAGTGATTTGTGCATAATTATTTCACATGACAGTTTAACATAGTACAGTCAAACGTCAGTAACCAAATCTTGAACCACCACAAATGTGAGAATAAAAGCACTGTGTCCTGGTCAACAGATGTAAATCATTTTCATATTACAAATTCATGAGACCATCTGGAACCACCGATTTTATTTCCAATTCTATGCAGTTTTATGTCCAATACGCAGTCCCCTCATAAAAAATTACACAGGTGATGAAAAAGTATGACGAGTGAGTGCTTTCATGCAAAGGTTGACTTGGTTTATTATTGCAAATGAGCTCTAAGATTATGAACAGAACCAAATCCTGTAAATGAGGCTAATTAATGAAACATCCATATGCAAAACTAAAAGGTTAATGGGGCCCGGGTTTTCCAAAAGACATTGTAAAGTGTGGCTAATTATATATCAGTGCCTCCATATGTGAAGTTATAAAAGGAAACACATATAGAAAGTTGATAGGGTCCAATGGAATTATTGAAAAGTTCGTCTTCAGATCTTGTCACTTAGAAAATTTGGGTTACAAGTACAAAACGCCCGATTTCAGAGTCAAACCAGAGTCTTGGCAAATTTTAAAGTTTGATTTCTAAGCAGAGTCACTGTCACAAGTCAAGTCAATGCAGTTTCGAGTCGCAAGTGTAGTCCTATGTCCCAACAGCTTTCTCACATAAGTTGTAACTATGAAATGTGCTACCCAATAATTCTTTTATTCCGCGTCAAGTCAAAGTTATTTTGAATGTTGAACTAGGATTTTATATTGTGTTTACAACGTTAATGCCAACATGTTCACAGCCTATTTCGAATTGTAACTAAAAAAATGTAACTTTACCATTTTTGAATACAACATTGATATGCATGGCAAATCGTATTTAATTGATTTTTTGCTATTCCAATGACTTGCTTCAAATTTTTTTGAGGTCCTAAGTAAGGTTGCTATGGTTGTTAGTCGGGTTCCAATGAGTGAGTTACTCAAGTATCCTCAACCCTGCTACCAAGGCGCACAGAAGACCAATTAACACTTTAAAGAAACAACATTGTCGGACGCAAATTGCACCCATAAGTTTTCAGAATTAAAATACGTTTTTATAGTGACAAAAATGGGTTGCTACCTCACCTAATAATTAATTAATGGTCCAAACTTACATTTAATAACATTGTTCGACGGTGTTTTTATGCCAGAGTTTCCCCGAGCATCTTTGGCCCAGACTTGGAAACGATATGTTTTACCAAGTGTAGGTGACTTCATTTTGTACTGAGGAACCTTTGTAGTGTGAGTCTCTCCGAGTTTTACATCATCGCAGAAGATTTCTATGTTGTATAGAACGTTTCTGTCAGATACTGCATCCCAAGTCAAAAGAATGTCGGATCCACTTCTTTGAGATGAAACATTTTCTATTTGATGCAAAGCTAAAAACAAATGTGAGAGTGTGTGACACCTTTATTGTAGCAACAGGACTTTTTGAAAACATCTTGCGCATGTCAAAGAGTGACAAGAGCGCGGCGGCGTGGCTCAACGGGCTAAGCGTTAGGAATACGCTCGCCACCGCACCTCTAATTACTCTGCGTGGGTTCGCAGGTTCGAATCCCATGCAGGGATGGTTATGTGCGAGAGGATTGCTGAACTCCTCGCCGTCGTTGGGTGGTTCACGTAACCGCTGGTCGGTTACGGCTTCCTCCACCACCAAGTCCATGCTTCCGAAAACAAACAATACAGTATAACTAATCCCATACCCGACTTGGAATGGTAACCGGACGAGAGGTCGTGGTTCGCCATATGGATAAGCCGTCTTAGCGGCTTTCCTCTCCCCCGGGATAAATATGTAAAATCCTATCCTCCTATCCTAAAGAGAGCACACCTGCAAAAGATTTAAATTTAAGAGTTGATCCGTCAAGCCATCTAGTGTGGCCCATGTCAACACTCAGATTGTTCCCCATCAACCATGAAATCCCAGTCCAACAGTTTATGTTGACAGCTTTGACAAAGCTGATCCTAACAAACTATGCAAGAACTTGATGTTTCAGGTGTCCCACTAAAATATTACATAAACAGGATTTTTTGATTGTGGGAATTTTTTAATTCTTTGTTTGTGTGGCCCAGTTAGATGTCCGAAGTTAGCTGTATGGCCACCGACATAAAATGTTGCACACCCCTGATTTATAATAATTCAAATATTTTTCAGCACTTCCTCATAATTACAAGTATTTAGCTCAGCCCAACGCTACCTGATTCTATTAATATGGCTGACTTACTATGCTGAGTTGGCTTTGCAAGTTGTTCAGTTACTTCTTTATCTGTTTGTTCTGCTTCTTCTTCAGGCAGCAAGAGTTCACTTCTGAAAACAAAATTGGAGCATTCAAATATATTAATTTTGTCCCATTTTTGATTGGTCAAAATAATGGCTCCTATTACTCGTTTTCAAAACCCTTTCTCCTTACCCAGGGTGGTAAAGATTGTGCGCCAGGTAAGGTATGGACTTCAATCGAAGGTAGGTAATAATAGGTAGGTAATAATAGTGTGATAGATAATAATAACCATTAGGCAGAGAAGTGCTAGAGAAATTTGCTAAGTGTGCCCCAAAAATTAACAGAATTGTGTTAAACATAACTAATATATGATTGAATATTTTACATATTGTAATTAATATACATTTATTGTTTCTAATTTTAAATGATGTGTATATGAGTATATATATGCTTATCAACAAGCAAAACTGAGGAATTTGTCGACTTGACATCAGATTTCAATGATCTAATTAAATTTTGTGCAAACACCCGTTTGGAATAGCCACAAGTGCAACCGCCTACCTACGTTGCTGGGTTTTCATCAGTGGTGTCTCTCAGTCAAAAGAACATACCGGTAACGTTTGGACATAGAGAGACAAATGCATGTCATATCAATTATAACATAGTGCTTTAAAAAAATGTGTTAAGAGCAGCAGCAGTTACACACCTCTCATTAGATAAATAAATGTTTTATTTTATTTAAAGGCCGCAAGTTTCGTGTAAGCGTACCGCGATTTTTATTCCTGATAATGTAGCGCCCTACGAACAAAAAGTTTGGGAACCGCTGCACTAGACCATCACTATCCTTGATAATTGAAATATAGGTGAGCATTATATATCATACAAAATACTGTTATGTCTAACCTGGGGCTTCCTACTTCTTGTAAAGTCTCCACATTTTCTCCAGTATTCTCAAAACTGTCATATGGTGATCCTGAGAAAGAATAATAAATAATTATCAAAAAATGATAGTATTTAAGACTCTGTTTTGAGCTATTTAATATTGTTTATCACAAATTATGATAGAATTTCCTATTTAACCTGAAAAAAGAAAAAAAGTCGAAAATACTGCTTAAACATACTGCGAACCGCAGCCTCTCATCATCTGGTTACCAGTTTATGTTTGGGTATGGGGTTAGTTAGCAAGTTATTTGTTTCATGCTTTTGAGACTCAGCAATCCTCTCGGACGTAATTATTCGCAACTGTGAACCAGAGCAAGATAATCAGAGATGTGATGGCAATCGTATCCATAACGATTGGCATGATGCTTCGACTGCCAAGTGTGAAGACTTGTAAACAATTATTTTATATTTTCCTTGAAATTAATTTTGCGTATTCTAGATTTATATTTAAACATATCACACAGAAAATTTTGTTTGATACTCCCACATTTACAATAGACAAAAACACAAAATCAAAGATAAAAAATACTTGATGACAATCAGTAGTAGTACCCGGTCATTAGTTCTTAGTTAGTTCTGGCTTGCACAGGAGTATTTGTAATTGATTTGTGTTTAGGTATAACAATTATGTGTTTTCTTACTGTTTGGAAGTCTACTGCTACTGCAACTGTTTATACCCGGGTGACACTAAATTAATTACCGACTTTTTCGTACCTCACCAACTGTTGGAGAGTGTTATTGTGTTTGGTCTGAATTTGCAATCTTTAAGCGATTGTTACATGTTTTCCAAGTCATATTACATTTGAGTGTATTCAGTCAAGTAGACTATTGTTTACGAGGATTTGGAGAATACAGGCTGTAATATTCGTTTATGAGGGTGATGTCCCGTCAGAGCATAATAAGAAAAAGGAAAGTGAATTTTTAGTATCAACATCTGTGATAATGGCCAACATGTGAATGGTTAGTGTGGTTTGACCGACATCGAAAGGTTTTTGCATGGTTTGTGACAATTTCTCATGTGTCCCAACCACAATCTCGTCTTTCTCAGGTCTTTCAACTAGCAGTCTAATGATAGTTAATTAATATTGACCAATATTTATCCAAATCAACAACTTCTTCTCAAAAGTACAGGGTAGTTTTCTATTGTCTCCTCATTTGCAATCATTGAATATTGTACTCGCAGATTTTTCATTTTTCTGGACGTCATGATGATCAATTTAAAAGCTAGCTAATTCAACAACAACATCGATTAAATTTCTTGCCTATAATCCACGACTTTGAAAAACCTCACTTAATCCTTCATTAAACTATATATTCCTGTAACCGATTTCCCTACCCCGATATCATATTGCCTTAATTAATATTGATCATAATTACCGGTACTTTTATTGATTAATAGTATTTGAAATAATTTGGACGTTAATTTGGCTAGTTTGGGCTTCAATTTGGTGAGTGAAGCAGGTCTAGCCCACCTCTTCATGCAACCAACTTGGCAATTCTGATTGGGCAATTTGGCATTAGGTGACTCCAATTATAATCAGCTTGACAATATTGTTGGCTAATACGGTATTATTGGTAACTCCTGTTGACTAATTCGGTATCAGATTTGGCAATCCTCATAAAATTGATAATGTGGTGTGGCAAAAATTTTTTTTTTTTCAATTTTTGTTTATTTTATTTATTTGTATATTTTTTTTTCTTCCAATCTTATCATATCTCGGTAATTGGGTGTATGTGTGCATGTTTGCCTTAACTAGTTCTAATATCTTTGGGTGAGCGAACACGTAATACTTGTTTTATCAATACCTTTTCATCTAAAATCATCCATACTTGAGGTTTTGTTTGCTCTTCCGATTCTATGATCAGTTTTATTTGTTTTGATTTTATCAATTACTTTATATCGTCCATTATGCTATTTATGGAGTCGAAATAAACTTACCGAATACTTATAAAAATTGAGATCCAAGTACACACTGTTTTAGAGTTGGCATAGAGTTACCACTACAACAATAACTATATTATAATAAATATAATAACGATTAGGCAGGAATTTATCAATGTATCATGCCATAGCACCACTCAATTTGAAAATAAAATTTATAACTTACCAAATTCAGCTTTTGAAGTTGTGGTTGGAAGTTGTTTAGAAAAAACATTGGTTGTAGCATCTGCTGACTTTCTTTGACTCATGAGTTTTGTGACATAATTCAACTGAATTTCTAGTTTCTGTAATGAATAAAGTTTTTAAATCAGATTAGCACTAAGCACGCGGAATCTAATAATTTCAGTGCTGGAATTCAATGCATTTTATCATACCATACTGTATGGAAGTGCTCAGCAGTGTCTGCACTATTCTAAAAAGAAATTCCATTAGTTGAGAAACTCTTAAAATTTGCATACTTTGATAACTCACTAAACCGACAGTCCACACTTGGTAATTCATTAAAATAATTTTTACTGTAAAAAATTGGTAAATTTAATTTATTTCAAATTTAGACTTTTGCTTGACAAAACAGAAACACAAATGAATCTTACTATGCAATTGTTCGTTTTATCAAAGCACAAATAAACATAATTAAAAAAAAGCAAATATTGAATATGTGCAACACAATCAGATTGACCGCGATGACATTATATTTCAATGACTGCTTTAAAGAATTGAAATGACACCAGTGGAAATAACATACGCTTCGGTGAAACTTAAAAATGCTCAGCTCAGCGTGAATAATTTAGACTTTCAGTTTATTTCAGTTCTACGCAAATCGTTGATTTTATGTGTGTTCCATATTTTATATTTTGTTTATCCCAGAAAGAATTTCAAACCTCTGATCCAATTTCATTCAATTGATTCTGTAACATTTCTTTATCTTCATTTGCTATTTTCCATCTATCCAATGCCAACATCTTTGTAACATTAGGAAGCAGATTTGCAACTGCAACAATATCTTCATGGTTTGCAATACGATCTTCTTTCATAAACAAATACTCTATCTGTGGTAATGAACAGAAACAAAGAACAATCAGACATGAATAAAATACATAACAATTGGGGTCGGCAAAATCGAATAGTTTTTTCGAATACAATAATTCGAATATTTTTAACAAATACTGAATAGTCAAATAACGAATAGTTTTTAAACACAACAGGGGCCCAGAACGTCGGAGATCAATACTTACTTTGGGAATTATTGGAAACATTGAAAACTCTGCAATGATGAGTTTTTTTTTACTTTTCATCATAATCGCTGATTGTTTTTATAACTGCCATCGTTTCGGCGGTGATACCCTAAAGTTGGTGATATGTATTCCCTCCCTTCTTTTTCTTTTTACAAGTATTAATTTTTGTGGGTCGGCGAGTATTGAAGTTCTATATTTCTGGCACACCCGTGCTTTCACATTGGCAACAGATGTTAAAACATTAAAGACTATTTTCAAAACCCAAATTAATTTTATTCTGATTTTTATAATTTGCCTTGGCTTTCATCTGACTTAATACCGCCTGTAAATTACCCTTCCCAGTTTAAAGCGAATTAATATAGTGATTAAATAAATCGAAAATACAGGCATTTGTAGTGATCATAGGGCTTGTGTGGCTAATTGAGGGCTAGACGCTAATTATAACTATTTCCGTCAAGTTTTTACTTGAAGGAAGTTTTTCTCAAGAAAACAATAACCCGACGGTAATTATAGCTGAGAACATAATAGAGTAATTCACATTTTTATTTAAGGAATTTGCAAATTCAACACTTCACTTAACGATTTTGATGCCACGCCCTGAATATTATTGCAAAAATGCTTCAAAATACAACAATTGTAATCCTTTGCGATGAAATTCATGATTGATTTTACTCTTGTTTACACGCCGGCCATAGATGGTCAAGTAAAATGTTCACATTTTTAAAACATTACTTGACAAAGAATGGAAGGGATCACTGAAGAGCTTATAGAAAGTACATTGAAGGAAAAATGGCCTGTCATTTCTTATATGGTTACAACTTAAAAAGTGTTTTTCATAAAAGTAAATCATACCAGCTTTGAAAAACTTTAACTGGTCATTTTCAAATCGATGCTATTTTTATAACTCAAATTTTCTGACGACCTAAAATCACCTCTTTCAAAATGCAGGTTCTCTCAAATCGTCATTTCAACTTTAATTCTTAATCAATTTTATGGTCGGGTGATGCAAGAAACGACTAATAAAATGTCTCCAAGCATATGAAGTTAAAAATCTGAAGAAATTCATTTTGACGTTTTTAAATTTACTGTCAGTACGTAGTAGAGTATAGTACGCAGTAGCAAAATAGAGTATTGAAACGATAGGAGTAAAAGAAAGTAAATAACATCATAACGCAAAGACAACAACTTCTCACATTTGTCGCTTTTGTCTGTTAGCAAGTACGATGGGTGAATTCTCGTGCAATTCACGATTGAAATAAGTACGAGCGAGTTCCATGTTCAAGTAAAGCAGCACAGGTCACGTGGTACCGGATATTCGAATAGTAAAATGCCATTCGAATATTTACATTCGAGTCGCTATTCGTTATTCGAATATTTTGCCCAGCCCTAATAACAGTCATAGTCATCATAGTTTTGCCAAACCCATATTATTCATATTACGCAGAAGTGCATTGTAACATTATAATTAGCCTGGTGTCAGAAGTTGTGAGTTTTCATCAAATAAGAAACAATAGTTATCAAAATTCAGTGTTTTAGTTGTGTGTCATTTTTCGTGGTCAAATCAATTTTATTCAACAAATTGATGGCCATTGTAATCAAATAAATAAAATATTAAATTAAAACTCAGAGCAGCATCGTCTAAATTGAAATTTCGAAAACAGACAAGCATTTGTGACATCAAATAACTAGCTTGGTAAATTTTTTAAATATAAAGTAGGCCTTAAAACTATTAAGGAAGATAAATTTAAACTGGAAGAGGGGTTTCATCAATTTCATATTGAGTATTCAAACTTAAAATTTCCTCAAAACCTTCCAAAAACGTTCATTTTGTGATTACTTATGTGGTATACCTCTGTGTTGCTCAAGGATGATTTGAAAGCCAGTAGTTGATCTGATGACAGGTTACAGTTGTCAAGGCCCAACCATTTAACACAGCATTGATTGGAGAGTATTTGTCCAACTGATGATAATCCTTCAACTCCCATGTTTGTGTTTCCTTGCAGGTACAAATTCATGATCTATAAAGAGACAAGAATAATTGATGACCAATAAAATCTATAAATGGTTCTTTACTAAGGGAGCATTTTCAAACTGGGGGTAGTTTTTTATGCAAAATATGCTAGTAATATTCAATAGATATTTGAAAACACATTCCAAGCTACATCATAGAATTAAAATCTGTAAATTCAGAATAGTTGAATTCCATATTGATGAATGTTAACAACTGCATGAGAACGGAGGCTTGAGCAATTATAACATCATTAATACTAACAAAACAGAACAAACATATTGAAATATTTACTTTGATAAGCTAATAGATTTCAGAGTACCCTATTTTTATCTTTTTGTTATTTGTGCAATGTTTTATGCATGAAGAAAATAATTATTCGAATCTGTATCTGTTATTATTGGTCGGTATGATTTTTGCAGCTAACAAACCAACATTGCCTACCATAGACTATATGAGACGGATCAAGTTTCAAGGACATTGTTGTTTGTCCTTAGCAAAAGGCGGAACACTACACTAGTAAAAATAAATAAAAATGTTGCATTTTTTTTGAGAAAAATGAATTTTGTGAATCCTCGCGATCCAGGGATATGCTCACATACTAAACGACATGTAGTTCTTTTAAGGCCACAAAGTTGAATGAATAATATAAAACAATTAATTTTACATACTATTTACTTCAACAAAAATTAACCTAAAGTTGCACTTGGTTCCAAAAAAAATACTTTTTGAAATCGCGGCATGGGTTTATTTCAATAAAATGGCTGCTGCCAAGTTCTTACGCTGTGATACCTTCCACATCTAAACTCATATTGAGAAACATTACAATACCAAATAGGAAATAAACAAAACAATTCACTAGAAAATATTTTTGTCGTAGAAACAAACGACACAAAAAGATCTTCAGGTAAACTAAACCATATGTTGGGAATTCAAAAAAAGTTTACTATAGATCAGGCCTGGGCAAGTTGCGGCCCGCGGCAAGGTTTTATCCGGCCCGTGAGAAAGTTTCTAGATTTAGACACTTTTTTTTATCATTTTCATATAAAATATACATTGATTGCGAACAAAAGAATTTTTAGTACAATGGAAAAGTCGATAATAACATTCGACTAAATTCCCTTTAAGTAGCCGATGTTTTCGTCATCTCGAGGTGTTATTTAGAACGTAAACACCTTTATGTCGGGGATTCGTCTCCTCTAGTCACAAATTTTCCTCAGCATATATATGTCTTGTATTTGGAACTATGAAACCATTGAAAAAAACGAGTTATTATATAATCATCGGCGACGAGATGCTAAAGATAAATAAAGGAGTGAATCTGCAAGCAAATTAAATCTAGATTTAGAGCGGCAATATAAAATACTAAAAATTGAACAGAAACAAGTTATGATTCAAACGGCTCGCCACAGATTAAAAACGCTTTCGTGAAAATAGAAACTGAAAAATTCCTGGTGCCCACGGCACACATTTTAATTGCGTAGCTTTCGTGGGCGCGATGTACCTTTTGGTCAATTCTAAAACTACCGACGGGGCCTGATTTATAAGATAATTTTTGTAAGGTAAACTCAATTGATTTTTATGTGACTAAAAGGAATTTTACTCGATGTGCTCTTATCGCAGGCGTAGGGATTTTTCTGATGGTAAAATCTTTAAAACAGAGCTAAGTCAGTGTTTCAGGAACAGATCAGGTTGTCGAAATCACGAAATCGCAAAACACGAATAAAAATAATCTGGCACGTTACCTCACATTTTAATGTCCGCGGAATGCAGTGGTATTTCAGAATCGTAATGCTTATATTTTATCAAAGCAGCCGCAGGTTAGGTTGAAAACAACAAGACATTTCAATGTGCCCGTATCAATGCATTTTAAATATACGCTCGTATCCGTATCGCAAAAATAGATATAGTATATATTCCGGAGTATATAGAGTATATTCCGGCAGTTTATCTCGCATTTTTAAATCCTCAGATATCCGTGGCATTTTAGAGCAGACTTTTAAGCTCGCAACGCCTTCCAATGCATTAAAATTTCTGCGAACCTTGTTCACCTTAAAAATGGTATGACGACAGCGAAGTTATATAAATCACGATGTTTGGCTACTAAAGGCATGGTCCTAATTCCGCATTGTTACTCACTTTCCACCATTAATGACAAAATTCGGCATTGTTATGCAAGCGTTCCGTTTCTCTGATCCAATGTATTGTCTCAGAATTTGTCAGATTTATGTTTTAAACTAGTTTTATTAAATGTGCTTTGAATAAAAATTCTAACAAAATACAATAGATATAGTACTTATTTGAATGTAAAATAAATGCAATAAAAAGGCGTAATTGACTCTACTTAGTCCGGCCCGCCACTGTATTTTGAATATTCAATGTGGCCGATACCAAAAATGATTGCCCAGCCCTGCTATAGATTGATCATTGTAACTCACATTTGTTCTATTGCCTATTGAGGATTTGAAAGCTTGTAGTTGATCTGACGACAGGTTACAGTTGCCAATGACCAACCTTTCAACACAGGATTGATTGGAAAGTATTTGTCCAAGTGATGATAAACCTTCAACTCCCATGTTTGGATTTCCATCCAGCCACAATTGCATGGTCTATAATGAAACAAGAACAATTTAAGATCTTATTTAGAATGTTTTTAATCTTGTTGGGCAGATTGAAAAAAAATGAGAAGCTGCTCAAGATTCAGTTAGAATGGCAAAATTTCTTGGACAAAAAAAGAAAACAATTTTTTAATATTGGGATTGGAATAGCGAAACCAGCAACAAATCAAGCATAGGCAGTGGTTTTCACCCTTTTTGATAGAGCGCAGCCGACAATGAGACATTCTAGTGAGTCAAGAAACGTCTATGCAATAGTTTAATTGCCTTTTCATGGCCAAATTATTTAAATCATGAATCACAAACCTAATACTTGCAAAACAAAATGATCATATATCAAATATGACTAATCTGATAATAGTGGCAAATTTAGTATGTGTTTGGTTATATTTGAACAATAAATATAATAATAATAGACTATCGAATTGGATTTGAATGGAAATTTCAGAACCCCACGACCCTATAGGCTGGACTCAGGTTGAAATCCACTAACATAGGATGTGAAAACAGTACAGTAATTTGGTCTGATGTGTTTTCACTTATGTCAAGGTTGGATATAAGTTCAAAATGATAATCTGAACATTGAAGTACATCAATTATGTTCAAGCCACAGTGAGAAGATTTGGGTTAAACCAATGTCCATATAAGTCAGTGTGTGATAAATTTACTAAACATTTTCAACCTAAAAGGTTGTGCTTTATAATTCGATGTTAAATAAATTTGGTAGCAAATAGTTAAAATTTACTATAGTTATATATCAGAAATTCTACCTTTACATTTGATCCTTTCAATTCAGATGCCAGGGTTTGAAGTGAGGCTGGCCTGAGATCACAATCTGTGAAATGCATTGATAGTGATGTACAGTAGGAAGCTACTGATCCAATGACATGAAGATCACTGATGGGGAGAGGATGGCCATACATGTCAATTACATCAAGATATGATTTGACAATGTCACCCATTCCATCCTTGGCTTCGTTCAATGCAGTGAAAAGTTCCAAAAGATCGGATATGTCTGATTTTGATATTTTATTGAGTTGTAATTGCAGACTTTTCTTGAGAATATCTCGTTTTTCTTCAAGATCCCTGATTTCTGTAGAAATATAGCAATAGATGTATACTGCTGATAATTGTGTGTTTTGTCTGAATAATATGTTACCATTCAATAAGGTTGATGTACAAATAATATAGTCGTTTATTTTTTTTATCAGTCAATGAAAGGCTAAATCTAGTCAGCCATAGTTAAGCAATGTATATAGTATTGGGTAATAACGTGTCGCACCTCATTTCATTATGTGTCAGTTCCATTGTTTGGACTAGTACTTATCATTGCACTTCAGATTCCCTCCGAGCTTAAAGCTTTAGTTGAAATCCGGTTTTTAAGATGTGTAAAAATAAAGCTCGGCTACTTTTCGTTTTACAATACAATGCGAAAAACGTCTAACAAATTTCAGATTAGAATCGAGTAACAAACACTCCAGCTTGAATTTAAATCCAGATTCAACAATAGACAACACAATACCTTCAAGTAATTTTCCGGCTATTTCATCATAAACTGCGGGATTCAATAAAAATCCACAGATCATTCTTCTGACAAAAACAAAGTGACCGGTGTGAAGATGTTTATCCACAAACTTCTTGAACGATTTTAAATCCAGTCGGAGAATATAGAAAGATGTGAGCATTTCTTGAATACTTTGATGTTGGAAGTAAAGAATGTGGATTCCTTGAAAAAGTTTACAATATATTCCTCCAGGAGCCAGGATTGCTAGATCAGTTGCTTCCTCCGGTTTTAGATGAACTTGGCGAAAATCATCTTCTGTAAATAGAACTCGACGTTCTACTGTCCCAATGTATGATAGTTCTTCTAATTTTCCCAAAACTTCCAAAATATTCTCTTGGTGCGTGTGGGATGATTGTAAGATGCTTTTCATGACCACAATCATAATACCAGTCATAGTGTTTGGTTTGAAGGCAGATTTGAATTTCAAAGCTATCAATGTGTAAACAAGCATCACAGGTGTGGTGCACAGAAACAAAAGTAATGGAGCTTTGATTTTGAGAAATTCTATTATTTTCTCGGCCTCTTCATCTCCTTCATATCCAGAAATGATTTTTTTGATGGACTCCATTGTTAATCCAGCAAGTGCAATGACCTTGTCTGGTCGGACTTCTCCCCAATAATTTCTGATGGAATGTTCACGACTGGCCGATATAATGCGACACCCAGGAAATAATTTTCCAGAAAGAAAATTCCATATTATTACTTCAGGATATGCAGGCTCATCTAGACTGATGACTTCATAAACTCCATCAACTGTATATTGAAGAGTATCCAAAGAGTCGAGCAAAAACAAAACTTCCTCTGGGTGAATTTTTGCAAATTCAATTGCTGGACCTCTTTCTTCCTTTGACAGGTTGTTGAAAATTAGTTCATCTGCTGTTACTTTCCTGTTTCTCTTATATTGTCTGCATTCTATATATGAAACCATCTTGATGGATCCTTGGAAATATTTTCCATGCATGGTATTTCTTGATGTGGCTTTCATGAGTGTGGATTTCCCTGATCCTGCGGGGCCAACGATACAAACATGACCTTGTTTAAAGTTGTTAAACAATTCATCAAGTTGAGTCTCATTTCTGATCCCTCTTTTTCTTTCATGTTCTAGATACTTCTGTTGATTAGATGACTCTGGTACATAATCGTATGCAGGTATTCTTCCACCTTTATAAAAATAAATTTCTTCTAATTGAGGAGTGACATCCACATTTAGTTTTCTCTTAAAAACTCCATGAGGTTCAGCAAAGTCATAGAAGTCAGTGCACTTGTAAGTGTACTCATTGATTTTTGCAATTACTTTTTGATAAGACATCATGTTTGCTTTACAATATCATTGTTTAACATCCAGTGTATCGACCATGTGGTAAAGCTTCATAAAAATATATCCATGTGATGTGATATTCAATAATACCCTTCAACAATATCTTTAAAGTTCTAGGATATAAACTTTAACTAAACCTGCTACAAATCTAACGGGGAAATATATTTTAACCAGATGCGATGAAACCAAACACAGATGTCAGCAAATCTGTTATGAGTGTGATGAAATATTCATTTTTGTGTGAACAGTTACAATTCCAAATATCTTTGTTAAATTTAAAAAATTGTTTTTAATTAACCTTCATGTGTTTTCTCTGAGTTCAAGTATTTCAAGCAATTTATTTTAAGACATTTTTCATGCGACACCCACTGTAAGCCTTGTGTTTTGTACAAGGCCCTCTATACAAGCAGCCGCTAATATCTAACAATAGGCAAGAGACTACTATTGTTTGGCAGGATTTTTCCAGACCTACAGAAATCACCTTATATTGAGTGTTTTAAAAACAGGAAGGCAGAAAGGTTTATAAATCCAGTCTTAAACAGTGGGCCGATGAATAATCATGAAATGTTTGTCCGCATGAGGATAGGATAACTAATTCAAAAGTGAAAGATGGCTATTTCAAAGTGAGTACCCAATGACTGCTGACATGTCTGGATTTATGAAAAAAACTTCCCAAATTCTCGGCATGGTATATAGTCATGATTCAGCTGCTTAACTCAGGCGACAAATCCAATTATGTACTACCTGTCAGATATTGTTGATTATATGAAACATCAAGTGTTCAAAAATAAAACTTGCATTATGTAACTAGCAATCGTGAATGCTGTCGAGCATTATTTATTGCTATTGCAGGGTATTAATAAAATTCCATATGTTACTGATCGACTCTAGATTGAGAGTTTTACTTTTATGTAAGATCAGTTATGCAGTGTCTCTATATAATCCTCCTTTCTCCACCACATGGAATATGAATTGATTATATACTATTAAACTTTGTTTAATAAAGCTTCACCTAAACACACGAAAAAATGACATAAAAAGTAGTTTTAGATTTGTCACAGGTGTGTCTTTGTCAATTAGTAGTAATAGGCTGTGGATATCCAAGACCCTACCAAGCCAGAACTACTAATAGTGACACAAGCAAAAAATAACTTGGGAACTAGAATTTGAAAAGGTGGGGCAGTTTAACCTCGAATATCCATGGCTATGTCACCTGGCTCTAAGCAAAGACATAGAAACCCCCAAAATGGGGATGACATAATTTTATTTTATTTAATACTACACCTCCTCCCGCTTATCGCTACAAACAAGGCTAGGTTCAAGCAGTCACTTATATCTTTAAGAAGCTTCTTACAGACTCACTTTGCTGTTGAAGTTATCTAAGCCAGTGATTCCTAAAGTGGGCGATATCGCCCCCCGGTGGGCGAAAACGATACAGAGGGGGGCGAAAAAGTCGAAGGGGGCGATAGGGGGGCGATTTCGCGTTATCTGTTTTTGTTTTGTGCATCGTGCACCAAATTCTGTACTCTGTGTGCATTCGCAGGCTTGAATCATGTTGGCGATTATTATACGCGAGAGGATTGCTGAACTCGTCTTCGCAGTAGGTACGATAGTTTGCGTATCCCGGTGGTCGGCTAAATACGGCCGGGGTAAAATAATCTGGCGCGGACGATTCACTGAATGAATCTTTCCCCGACCTTTGACCGCGGAAAAATTCTTTGTATATTTTACCATTTTTAAATTTTCGGTGCTTAGTTTTAAGAGTGGTTTCGCGAGTTGTTGCCTGTAAAATGGGGTATTTGTTTCAAACTATCATTCTAATTCATACCATTCAACAATCTGTTATTTAAAAGTATCGAAAAGAATTCTTGCCATAAGGAAATAAAATTTATATTCGATTCGAGAGATTCATCACTGCTTTATATTTGTAGGAACGTATTTTCTTAAAGAAAATATTTATCAAAATTTCAGAAACCATGCAAAAATATTCACTTCGATGTTTGGAAGTTCATATTTGTGCGAACAATTATTTTCAAAATTCATCTTTCCGCTAATTGTCGAGGTGAATTCCCCAATTTTTTTAATTGAAGTCATATTTTTTCAACGAAATTCTAACATATGACTATTTTCTGTAGTGAGTTATTGATAAAACGTGTTTGTTATTCTGTGTGAACGCTCAGTAATCTATCTGGATGATTTATTCTATGTCTTCGGTAATTCATTTGTTGAGAGGACCAATTACTATAATAAAGTCGCTTACAACTATATATTTTCAAGTATTCGAGATTCGATTCGAAAAATATTATTCGATTCGATTCTGAAATCACAAGGTATTCGAAAATGCCCAGCCCTACGTAAAGCTGTCAAGCGTAATACAACAAGACAATGTCACATTGAATGTCATTGTAATAATATTTTAATAAGACGACTAAGTTGAGTTCATGAATTGTCGCAGTTTTCGTGCTGTCCCATTTTTAACTTTCAAAAAATATATTGGACCCGCACAAGACTAGCAACCCTAAATTTTGTCCCGCGAGCGACATAATCTTTGCCGACCCCTAGGCAGTAGCCGATAGTCGGTCACGGCTTCTTCCACATCCGAGTCCATGAATCCAAAAACAAATGGCTGATTAATTCTATGGACTGGTGATCGGACTGTAGGCCGTGGTAGGATGAGGAATCGGAGATGAATTTTTCCGAGGTATTTTGGTGCAAGTCATCAGGCTGTAGGAATGAATGACATGTACGAAAATCATTTTTACGAACTTTATTTTCATTATTTTAATGGGAATTGGGGTGAATTTATGGAGTGAAATGCTATAGGGCAAGAGTACACGGCGGTTTTTGAGGAGGTAGAACCCTGGTTTCTTTCATTTCCGACCTCTTATATGGTGAAAAGGGGGGTTTTCAGTCGTGCTACTATTACTATCAAAACAACGAAATCGCCTTTCTATCAGTAAACGGGGTAATTTTAGATATAATGAAAAAACTCGCTGAGGAACACCGAGCTCATCCATCTCATTAAAAAACACTATAAACTATGATTTGTCATCTCATTTGGTCTGTAATATATTCGTTTCTGACTTTACATTTATTTGTAGTGCCGGGGGGCGATGAAGTTGTATAAACTACTTTGGGGGGCGATGGTCAAAAAAGTTTGGGAACCACTGATCTAAGCAATACAATCGAAGAATTTCATATATCTCAGTCGGTTCGTTTGTAGTAAGGATTGGAGGTGAGCGAAAAAAGTTATTGGTAAATCGCTCACAAATAGAGAAAAATAATGTTGAACACACACAAAAGTATATGTTCCACTGCAAATGCAGCGAAATCGCTTCTCAAAAAATATTTTGGAGAGGACGCAGGCTACGTGTACGATAATGAGTATTAGTGTTCGCTCTAAGGATATCATGAGTGAGAAGGTGCCTCAAAGTTGAAGTGCTCTAGCAGATTTTACCAAGTTTGGTGCCCTAACTTTTAAATGCCCTATTTACTCGAAAACGCTCCACTTGTAACTAAGGTTGTGACCAGGGATGTTCATTAGAATCAAGTCGCAAATCATTCAAATCGTTTTGCGGCTAGTTTGCAAAAATCGAATTATATGGTAATGTAAAGAGGTGGTCCCAACCTTTTTTTAGCAACCCAATTTGGAACTTCCAATTTGAGGAATGTAAATGAATGAGGAAGGACCATTTTATAAACCGAAATACATGATCTTCGATCGCTATTTAAAGCAAATTGTGTTAGGGCGTTTTTTATTAGACTAAAAAGTATGCGTCGTTCACCGCGTCGTTCACGGTTGCGATTTATTTTAACCGTTAACTGACATTTCAGGGATAAATCATCTTTATAATGTACAATTTCTTCAGAAATGATTAGTCCATCGCAAATTTATCTCCCGTGGTGTGTATTTCAAAAAAATATCACTAATTATTGTATTGGAAGGACCCAATAAATGTAAAAAATAGTTGAAATACAAATATTACTTGATTATGAAACTGATTGATAACGATAAATTCATAATCAGTTTTTGGTCAAGATATATTTATTGCTCACGATTTTATTGCAAAAGTGTCAATTTCAACAAGTGCGCAGTTGATGCAGTTTTTCGTTGTGATATCTCAAAGTAGAATTTGCACATCGAACACTGAAAATTTGTCACATAAATGACATTTAATAAAGGAATCGAATCGACCGATTTTTTCGACTGCAATAAATTTTTTCACGATTCGTAGATCTTCTTTATAATGCTAAATATATAACGCAATTATAAATATCAATCAATAGAAAATGCACTTTGCTAACTATAATACAATTATATTGCATTGACAATGGGAAATTACTCAAAACCGCTTTCCGTTGCTAGAAATTATTTTATGCCAAGCAAGATCTGATGTTGAATTTATATTAATTAACACGCTATACGCGTCCGCTATACGTAAAATTTAGTTACTATGATGTGAAATAAAGTGTTATATATAGCGCGAAAGAATGGTCGTCCGGGCATGATCTGATGAAGGATTGGCTATTTTATAAACCAAGTAGGTTTGAGGGGTGTATTATCGAGATGTATTTCTCAGTTGTAAAATTAGTACCAATAACGAAGTAATATAAACAAAAATTGCAATTTATTGAATCTTGGGACAAAAAGCGAAAGCATGTCATTTGGGATCCTCCGCAAAAGCATGTCATTCCTAATTTACTCTTATTGCCGAGTATGGAATATTGCTGGAACGCATACAGTAAGCGTGTCCCACCCCACGTATGTTCAAGGCTTATTAAATTCTTTTTTCATGGACGGTTGACAAAGTGAGGCAAACTAACTTATCGTTTGCGCATTGCTTCGCTTTTCGAGTGTGACAAATATAAACCACGAAAGAATAGTTGACTAATATTCTACGAATATCAGCATATACGAAAATAATACGGCAGAACATCGCCTTTCGCTCATGAAAAATAATATATAAACTTTCCTCCGACGATTCATAAAA